GCTGCCGCCGCGGTTTTCTTGCTTGTTTTCGTTGACATTGTTGTTTTGCGGAAAGTACGCGACACAACTATTAGCCTGCACGCGAATTCTCGCGCCTGCGGTCTCGTACGAGGCACACTACGTCGTTCTCGAGTTAGACTTTGATCGAGTAAACGCGCGTGCTACCTCCGTAATCGACGTCTCGCACACCTCGTAGCCAAATGCGCACTACTCCGCACTAACGGATCAAGCAGCGCCAGCCAACGGTCGGATTAGTGCGCTTGCGACGACGCCACATCACAAGCCGGGTTTCGCGCCGCCATTAATCGGAAAGAAGCGTCGCGAGCGATGATTGGCCGTGGCGATCGCAAGGACGCCACGCGTCAACCTATCGCGTCTCACGAGCCGACCAACCGCGCTTAATGTCGCGCGACACAATTGGCAGCGTTTAATATCGATAGTATTAAAATGGCTACAGAATGAACCATGCGACCAATCGCAATGAACGATCGAGGAAACGTTAAATTTGAATGCGATCGTTGAATCGTGATTAACGGGTTTTCTGGCACGTATTAAATTTTTTTTTTATTTTAATTGTATGTTTAATCAGCTTTTGTGCTTTTCGTATTTTGGATAAGACGTAGAATTCAGGAGTCTTATTCTCGAAAAATATCGCATATAAAGATACTAGAAAAATCTTAATATATGTGTAATATATGTACTACTTATAGTATTTTTATACGTACATGCATTTTCGTGTAAGATATTTGTCAAGAATACAGTCTCTCTTTCTTAAGGATGAAAGAGCGAAGAAATTAATAATAAATTTATAATTTTCTAGCTATTAGTATTTTAAAACAATATTTCGCGGTCTATTGTCTGCATCTCTTAATAAGAAATTATTTTCAATATAGAATTCATATAATAATATACTAGTAAATGTGATATAAGAATTGTCTCACTCGAAAGATATTTTTGCATGGAGTATCTTTCAATAATTATATTTTCGTAAACTATTATATTAACGAAATAAAATTTGTTAAAAACAATATTGGTTCCATAATTAATTTAATTTTCAGAATATTGATGATAACAATAAACGATAAAAATTGTTTTAAATAAAAATATTTCTACATAAAGTATTTCTCTTTCAGAAATTTTAAATCTTCATAGACTGTTATATAATATTAACGAAACTAATTTCTTAAAAATAATTGTTTTCGCAATTAAGAATTTATTCCAAGAATAGTCTTTTGATAATTCAAGTTGAATGTTGGATGGTTTTAAAACAATAAACAGCGTTTTATAAATAAATATTGCATTATGATATATTTTAACAACCAGTGGTAACAAAGGTAGGTGTCTCTTTTACGTATTTATAGCAACAGAACAGCACTCTCGTATGGTACAAGCTTCGACTTATTTAACTGTTCAATATATATTTATAATATTTATATATACATATGTATACATCCTTTGAACCCCAAAAGAGTCTTCGTGTAACATAATAATAGTCTTAGAAAAAAATTTGTTCTGCAGGCAACCGATGTAACTTATAAAGCTTATGACTTTAAATAACTTTTAGGATTCTGAATAAGACATATACGTACATATATGTATATATATGTACATATATGTATATATATGTATAAATACATGTATATATATGTATATATACATGTATATATATGTATATGTATGTATGGTGTATGTAAACATATGTATATATAACATACATACATATATATATATATGTAAATGTATAATATATGTATAAATGTATAGATTTCTCCTTGTGTTAAAGAATATGATTCTCTAGCGACATGTGATATATTAAATATATAGATATAATCTGTTACATCAGCATTTTCGCGTTTTAGATATCTATATATATAATAACTATTATATACATGTTATAAATTCGATAATATCTCACGCATAGCTTCTCTCCGCTACACACCGTACTTTATTTGGTTTAACAGAGGAGTGTCGCTTCAGTCATCTTTGGTAGAAGCATGCTTTTTTTCGTACAACGCTATCTCATACAAGATAACACAAAACGTTACTCAATTAACGCGTCTGTTCCCTGAGTTGATATACAACCACATTTCAGTCTTTACCATTTTGTTACTTCATCTCTCACAGCAATTATTACACATCAATTAAAACAATTATCTCACTAGTATAAGCACAGCAATCTAATAAAATCAAAAGATCAAGGCCGGAAATGTGTTGCCCTTTCTTATCAATTCTTTTTGACAAAACTGCCTGAAAGAATATCTTCCCCTAACACAAACTTTGTATTTTAAATAGAATTTTTATAGAATGCAGTACAAAAACAACAAAGGGGATAAATCCGAAATTATTTGTTGGAACTAATTCCTTCACTTATATAAGTCGATAATTAATCAACTCTCGAATTATGAGGAATTACATTAATCACGAATTAATGATAACACATTGGATCACAAAACTATCATAATCTGGCTTAATTAAATCTAATTCATTTTCTCGCGTTCCGAATGCTTTATCGCAACTCATTCATTTCCATCATTCTCAAAATTGTCACATATGTCAAATACTACACAAATACATCAAAGTGTGACGAGGCTTCTATACGAAAAAAATTAAATACTGAATAGAAATTCTTTTCGATTTTACTTATTATCTATCAACATCGTCAATCAACATCGTCATTTCTTTTTTATAGTCATCTGTAAAAATTAATAGAATAGTATATAATTATATAAACAAAATTTTCTTTAATTGTATAAATATGTGTCATTATTCTCAATAACACTATTCGTAAAAGAGTGCTTAATTTATATTTTCTTTTTTAACAAATAGTATTTTTTAAATATGTTTTTTTTCATTTTTCTTGATTGAGGTACCACTGGTAATAACAGTTGCTTTTGTTATCTTCGCGTAATCGCGTGTCATTTCTATTACATTAATATCTTTAATGTACTCATAATGAAATGAGTTTTTGAGGCACATTCACCACATATACATTCGTTATAAGCAATCGCTAAAATTTTCTTCGTATTGGCTAGTTAATCACTAATCATCATTTTTGTGATTATCGATTGCAGAAGTGAGTTTTTGGAAGAAAATTTTAACGGGAGTGTGTAATAAGTTATAATAACTTACAACGTTTGTCGTCCTCGCACTATAATCACAGACAATCCCAGTTTAACGCAACAAAACGATTCACCATCTTATTTGCATCCGCCTACTTTACATTTCTCTGTTTCTCTCTGACAGAAGTAATAAAAATAAAATTCTGTACACTGCATAATAATTTCTGTATATTGCGCAAATCTTCGCGGAGAAACGTTGATACTTTGTTGAGACCCTGACCATAATGATATATCGTTTTATACACGTCCATTTCTGGTATCTATCTAATATATTTAAATTAGCATCGTAAGAATGCACTTTTCAATTATACAATTATTTAGATAGAAAATGGACCAAGATTTTTTTAAGAAGATGGGATGGCATAATTATGTTATAGCTATTTATATATTTATATACGATATTCTAAAACTCTGATGAGATAGGAATGATGCGATGTTCGCGTCCTGTACGAACGCAGAAGGCAGCGGTGTTATAAAGATATACCGTGTAAAATGCATAGGAAACAAAGTGTGAATTCATTGGAGCGTTACTGGACCAAGCATAAGTAGGAAAACTCTCTACTCGACTATAATCGTGGCAAGGCGTTTCGGCCGTTTGCCAGCTTTATGTCTCCTATGGACATTCTCTTCGTCTTGCGCGACTTGCGAGGACGACTCGAACGACTCCGCGGAATTGTCAGAACCTATATCTCTGTCCGAATTTATTATTTGTTCGAGTTTACGTTTCCGCGATCGTGTCATTGGCCCGCTACTACTGCTGCCACTAGCTTCGCTGTCAACGTCGCGTCGATGTCGATGCTTTTTCGTCGGGATTATTGGTTGACACGATTCATGGTCGGCATTGCGTTTGGTCCGCTTTTTCGCGGTCTTCTCCAATTCTTGCAAGAGTGAAAGTCTTATCGAGGAATTCGAATCGGAAGAAGAAGATAGGGAACTCAGGTACTCGTTAACAACTTCATCATTAAAATCGAAGACGCTTGGTGACGAGGTGGAAGTGTTTGCAGCACTTGCTGTAGCGCTTGGTAGACGCAGCAACTGAACCGACGACGGACTCGAGGAGGAAGAAGAAGACGGTCTCGACGTCGAGGAACTGGAATTGGAACGTTTGTGCTTGCGACGCTGAGCCAGTTTGGCGGCATCGACCGCGCGCAACCGGAAACCTTCGCGCTCGTGCGTTGACGTTGAACTGACGGCTACCGCATTGTCCGCGTGAACCGCATCAGTGACTGGTGTTACCGGGAGAATCGTTGTGTCATGCGTCGTCAACCACGAATGGTACACCAGAGAAGCTGCGGTGAGTCTATTGTTGGGATCGATTATTAACAAACCTTTCATCACTTGTTTCGCACCCGGGGACACGTGACTCCAAGTCTCGCTGTCAAAATTAATCTCACCGGCTTTGATGCGCATCGCCACGTTAGGTGTATCTGTACGGAAAGGTGGATTGTCGGATAACATGAAATACAGAATAGTCCCCAGGGACCACATGTCGCAGCTCTCGTCGTATTCTTGGTTGGCCACAACCTCCGGGGCAGCGTACGGGAGCGTGAAGCAGGGCGTGTGTAACGGCTCGCAGCTGTTCTTCATCCGAGCAAATCCAAAGTCAACTATCTTTACAGCCGAATCTTCGCCTTGATGCACATATACGATATTCTCTGGCTTGAGATCACGATGCACTACGCCACGCGAGTGCATGTATCGCACTGCGGATGCCAATTGCCGCATCACTCGCTTGGCCTGCCGCTCCGAGAATGGGCGCGGTCGTTGTAACAACTCCCCGCCCGAGAGCAATTCCATCACGATGTATGTGTGAAGTCGATCATGGTGGACTTCTATCAATTTCACTACGTTCGCGTGACGTTGGCACGCACGCAACAGTCCGCTGACAAATCGAAAAACTGCCGTCACCTAGAGCTGGTCCCGCTTGGTCTAACTCGTACGTTTGGAAGAACGTGGACTCCTCGAAACACGTGTTCAGCAGATCGGACAACAAAGGCCGTTGCGAACTGGCCTCGCCACCGAAGATATCCCTGCTCACCACGTTGTCGGTGAATAATATCGAAGGCGCTACATAGGAATAACCCTGTAAAAACCAAGTGAGAAATTTTGATATAATGATTGATATATAAAATTCGTGACTGTTACGTATGCTATCTATTTATTCGGAGTAATAACGAAAAAAATTAAGAAAACTTACTCTAAAATGTTTGTCAGGATAGTCACCATCAATGACCGCTGGACTGTCAACGACGACATTCATCTTCGTGAATTCGTCTGAAAAATTGCTGGTATCCAATTCGTGCGAAATTTTGGGAATCAAAGGTGGCTTGATCTGTTTTTTCTCCAGACCTTCCCAAGTGAAGGCCGGTGCCGCATCCATGAAAAAGGGATGTTCCTTGAGCTCTTTAGCATCGCGCGGTCCACCGCCTAATCTTTGTCGTGGATCTTTGATCAACAAGCGGGTGATGAAATCGCTCACGTTGGCACTCAGGTGGCTCGGCATTGGTGGCGGATCATTCTTCAATATCCTCCTCGAAATTTCTTGTTGATTATTTTTCTCGCCCTCCACCGTAAAAGGCGACGCACCGGTTAGTAACTCAAACGTTAATACGCCTACACTCCACCAATCGACGGCCTACGAGAATGCCAGCTTGATTACAATACATACGTTTAAACATACATATGTCTGTATTTTGTATTACTGTTAATTATATCCAAGACACAATTGCATCTTCTTTTATATATTTTATTTATGTATGTAATTTTAAAATATATATTTTGTGAAAATTTAATTTAATAATTAATTTGTGCTTCTTAATTAATATCAAAATATTATACGATATAATTATACGCTTAATAATTTATATATTATGTAAATTTAATTATCTTCTAGGAAGGGAGATAAAACAGATTATCACCGAGTCATCATCAGAGAAAAGAAGCTACAAAAGCGAATACGGGGATGAAATAACATGCCAGTTGGTAACGTGTAAAGATAGAAAGGTATCAACGTTAACTCACGATATCGTGGCCGTTCGGACCCGCTTTTACCACTTCCGGTGCCATATACTCGATAGTTCCGCAAAACGAGTAAGTACGCGCATTGCCATTCCTCTCGTGCGGTAGGAATTCTTTGCTGAGACCGAAATCCGTCAACACGAGATGCCCCTCCTTATCCAAAAGTATATTTTCAAGTTTGATGTCCCGATATATTACGCCAAGCTGCAACATCAAATAAAATATTATACATATAGATTCAATTTAATTTATTTCGTTTATGCGGATTGTTTTCGTTCCTCGTCAAAGGTACTTTATTGCTGTTTGTGCACGTATAACGGTATATTAATTAGTATATTGATACATACGTCATGAAGACGCTCTAGCGCCAGGATAATTTCGCCAATATAAAATCGTACTGCGTCCTCCGTAAAGCAGTCATGTTGATATAGGTGCGTAAACATTTCACCACCGGCGACATATTCTGGAAATAGAAAAAAATATCTCTAAGTTCAAAATTTTATATCCACAGAAAAGAAAGAAATAGAACAAATTTTTCTTCGTCGTGCGTCATCTACAACGACATTTGATACACATAATAGATCAAATAAAAAAAAAGGTTTATTTTATTGCTTTTATTTTTATTCAATTTTGTTGCACAGATAAAATCTTGTATTTTATCCATATATGAAACTTTTTATTTTGTCTGTAATGTAAGTAATACCGAAATTGTTTAAGAAATTATTTTGCAAAGGCTAAATATTAATTTCCATATTATTTATTCAGCAAAAATTAACTTGTGACACGCATGTACGTTATATATTTTTTCTTTTTTTATTTATTTTAGTTTTTACTTTATTTATCCTCTGTCCTCTTCATTGGTAGACTTATTTATTTTTCTTTACTTTCAGTTCTTCGCCGAGTCTCACCTAAGATCAAACAGAGTTTGTCGTCAGTTTGAAACGCATAATAGAGAGTTATCAGGAACGGGCTGTCCCTGATAGCCTCCAGGATTTGTCGCTCGGACTTGGTGTGCTCCGTCGTCTTTTTCTTCTGCACGATGGAGGCCTTCTTCAGCACCTTCATGGCATAAAGCCGTCCGGAGTCAGCACCCGTTCTCTTTCGCACCAGGAAAACTTTACCGTAAGCTGTATGAAAATGAGATGATCGATATTAAAAGCACGATATCGCAGTTTAGAGATATTAATAATAACGGAAATTAAAAAATATCCATGTCGATATTGAAAAAATAGCACAGTCGGAAAAAAGATCTAAAGCATTACCGGAAATTAACTTACGTATAACAAATCATGTAACAGAAAAACGTTTAAAATTTGATGCCTATAACGATACAAATATTATAATGTCCGTTAGAAATAATTGGAGTGTTATTATTACCGTTATAAATAGTTTAAATGTTACTTATTACCGGTGTTGTAAATATTATGATTCAGGATTGATTATAAATATTATCAAACTGGACCACTTTATTGAATGATTTCTCACCTCCGGTGCCAAGGACTTTCAGCAAGTCGAAGTGTGTCATGTCCACTTTCTGGGTGCCGTTGTCCGCTAGGTTTACTGTAACAGAAAAACGGGAATTCTGTAAGAAAGGTTGGTACTCGATAATATCCGATTGATCATGACATCCGTTATATCCTGGCGATTTGGTACGATTGTTGCGGAACCGATCTCCGTTCGCGAAAACCGCGCAAATTATACCCGATGCGCCAGTCGAACGCGTAAGAGAGATCGAGGAAACATATCGATGCAAAATTCTGAAAACGTGTTTTTTGAAGTTATAATTAATCTTCCCTCCAAGTTTGCAATCTCTTTTTTTTACTCCTTCCGTTTGCAATCTGAGTCTTTTTTGTTCAGCCCAAGTTTTTTTATTGCTCTAAACTTTCAAAAAGAATTCACTGCTTTTCAACATCTTTATTGCGTTATCAAATAGTTTTTAAAATGTTAAAAGCTTTATTTAACATAAAAATTAAAATTCGAGCAAAAATGAGGATTAAATTTGGGAGTAAAATTTCGTCTGTAACCTGACTGCAAACGGGAGAATTAAAGCATGAGATATTTTCACGTATTTCTGCCAAATGACGTTTGCCGATGTAAAGTAGAAACGTACATTGAAAGAGATGTACAATAAATTGACTCGATTTAAATTTCGCTCCGAGTGGTCTAACGGCTGAACCGGAGTACACTAATTAACAATTTCTTCATTCCTAACGGTCACATTCTCCTCGACATTTGCGTTCCTGGCGACGCGGTTGTCGCGCGTTCCCAGACGCGAGGAGAGAGATTGCGGACGCGTCGTGACGCGCGCGAAGCGAAGCTGACAAGGCTTCTGAACGAGACAATGAGGTGCTCCTGGCATTCATTTTTCTCTCGACGTAGCATGCGGGAGTGCACGGGGAGAGAAAGAAGGAGGAAAAGGAAAAAGGAGAACGTATTTGATGCGAAGCCGAAGCCGAAGCGTCGCGTGGACAACGGCGCCTCGGAATGGAATGCCGCTTATTCGACAATCTTATTCGCGTAACACGCGAAGGTACAAGCACCTGCGATACGCTGCTGATATCGGCAGGTCGGCAGGTGCGACGACGGCCGTGAATGTGCATACATACACGTGAGCGATTCGCCGCGCCATCGCGCCCCACGGCCACGCTTCGCTCCATAGCGGACCATGTTTATCGCGGTTTCGCATATCAAAAGACATATGTCGTCCGTAATTAAAGCAGCAAACGCGCGTCTAATGCACCTCAAAACGAAGGAAAAACAAATTGTATAAAAATTACGGAAATATGTACGTAGCGTTAACTATACGATATAAGCGGTGAGCGGAAAAGATTTCAAGTGCGGCTTTAGGCATTCATGTATTCCATGGCAGCGGAGTTGCGATTATGTTTCAACGTTACATAATTCGCGGAACAACTGCATATAACTATTGCGGTGAACGTGGCAAACGATAAGAAGCAAGACGAATAACAATATTGTCCAGTAAATAATGCACAATAATAATTTTATCGTTATTTATTTCTGTCGCTATTCGGTTTATTGCTGATCGGAATCAATGGGTATATTTCTATCAAGCGGAAATATATTCGTTCCGGTTTTAATTCTTAGGAAAAACAGCTGCTAATCAGAAAGGAACTATGAATAATGAACGAGATAAATGAATAAAAGAAAATATCGTGGCGCATACGAGCGAGATGTTCATCTCGTTTGTGATATACATAGAATTGATTTCGATTCGGCTAAATATGTTTGCGTTTAAGTAACATCTGCGAAGTATACGTTTAATATTTATATGTCATACGCTGCGTATGACGCATGCTTCATGTGGGAAAATTCCGAAGAGACAGCTGGGTTTCGCACCCGATTCTGCGGACCACCCAGAACGTGAATCTTTATCTTCGCAGTCATCTTTAAGCCGGTTACACCAGACTTCAGCATTGAAGCTGCACATGAAATTGCACGTTCATAAGTCGAGGGGCTACTCACCTACGAAATCAACGAGGAATTCAGTAAATGAGGCAGTCAAGCATTCCTCACTGAAATCAAGAAATCATTTGAAATCGAACAAAAAAAACATCGTCGTACGCTCGGTCGCGCTCTCTCGAACTTTCTGTCGGAAAACAAATAAAATCACTTTGCAATCACGTTGAAATAACCATGAATACAAGAAATCGGAAATTACTTTCGTAGGTGAGTATCCCTTGGTCGGAGCAATTCTGTTAAGCATATACGTTCACGGTGTCCCAGAACTACAGCTTTCCACCCAATAGCATCGATCTAATCAGTCGACTAATCGCGATCTCTTACCCTAATTTTCAGCCACTAACATAAACAACAATCATCTACCGAGTAACGTTCTTTTAAATGTCCTCTAGACAATCGATAGTATTGCACAATATTTGATATTGCAATATTATTGATCATCTATAGGATATATATTGATATTTATTTTTAATAATCTAAAGAGAGTAATTTTAATTAGAAGGTAATTTTAAAAGAGGTAATTTTAATAATTGTGTACAAAATAATTGTATAATAGTATTAATCATCTAGGAGTCGTTTTACGTTCCTTTACGTTTTGTACATATCTCTTGTATATACATATCTTTGTACTATTGTGCGTCTTTCGCTTATCTTATCTCCTTTTTTATCTACCTCTTTATTGCGAAGCAGTTAAGTGGGTCACAAAGTTCACGGACAATCAGAATCGAAATGTATATCGATATCCTCTGTACTTATCCTGTGTACTTATTTTCAACCCTTTCATCGCTAACTATCGCACTGACAATGAGAGAAAATGTTTTATATTTATGACTATAGTTTACATGGTAAAATAATTATGATTAGGAGCTCCATTTTTATATAGTTATTACTATAAAAATGAAATTATAATATTAGTAATAATAATTATATTTATATCAAAAATTAGTTATACCAAAAATATTTATAATGACACTAAAAATGACTGTAATTTATAATTAAATTATAGCAATCGCAACCATTTTCTCTCAACAAAAAAAATACGCGGTAAGATTCCCATATAATGTTCTTAAGAGAACCTTGCGGTTATACATATATGTATATTAGGAAAAGATGACTAATAAGACTATCCCCCTCCCCATTGTGCTTATTTCGTTGACTCATTTGGTGGTAATGCAAAAAATGGGAATCTCAAGATTACGGCACAAGTAGGTCACGATTCTGTTACAGAAATTACAAACAGCGTTGCCACTTTCACTTTTGCATTTCGCATCTCTATATCCTTCCGTGGATTTTCTTTTCTTTTTTTACGCCAAAAGAGAAACCCATTTCTCAGTAGAGAAGCGGCGAAAGGAGCCGGAAGGTTCAATAAGTTCCGGTTAAATCGATGCAAGAAAATCATCGCCAGAGGGTTAATGCGATATCACAGAGACTGTGCTGAAATTTCCGATAATCGTCATAATCTATGTGTATACAAATCTCTTATGCCATTCAGCAAGTTCAGAACTAATCCTTCATTGTAGAAGTTTAACATTAATGGTTTATTTAACAGTATAATCACCTAATTAAGTAATTTCTTAAAAATAAAAGCATAATGAGACGTATAGCCCAGTAAGTCGTACAATTCATTGAAATTTACATTATTAAGTGTCTTAAGGAGATGCTGGAGTGACCAAATTATCACGTTACAGTCGTATAAAAATCTTCAAATTGACTGAACGGAATAAAAAATCCTTTTATAGGATTAAAGTAGATGCAAAATTAAGAGGTAGTGCATTTTAGTATAAAATCCACTGCACCACCTCCTAATTTTGCGTCCACTTTAATCCTGTAAAAGGATTTTTTATTCCGTTCAGTCAATTCGAAGATTTTTATACGACTGTAATGTGATAATTTGGTCATTACAGCATCCCCTTAAAGAGATCCTAAAGTCGTACTGTTTTACCGATTATTTTTCAAATAAGTATTTTTTTAACTGCCTTTAGAGAATCAAAAATCCTTCTTCACAATTAAAATATAAGAGATAATGTAGTCCAAACCGGTTGACTTCGTCCGAAAAATGAAAAAAAGTTGGAAAATTAGAGTTTTTACGAGTCGGCTTCTGTCGACTCGTAACAATATTTGCTTTATATAAAAGTTTTGTACTTTATACTTATAAAATTAGCTCGGTTTGGACTAGGGATTACATGAACAATCAATGTTGAGTACTTAGAATTAGGTTTAGATACTTAATACGAAAGAATAATAAGATTGAAAGACCGCTAATGTTAAACATAATAATTTTAAATTAAGAAGCGCCATAACGGTCAGAACGTTAAGATGTTGAACTATTGTAAATTCATTTAAAATACGAAAGATTAGTTAGTTAGAAAATTTGTACGTATGTGTACGTGAGATATTGATGTGGTAGTATATAAAGACATGTTAATGCGCTGAAAAAACAGCGATCTCTGGTGATTTCGTCGGAGTCCGAGCTTCGCTTTAGGATCCCCGAGTCGAAATTTTACTTCTCAGTCCTATCTCAATCTCTTTCAACCTCCTCAATTAAACCTCATAAACCTGTTTTGATATTTAAACAATCAAATAGGACCTCTTTTAATATTACTTAATCTACAGCTTCTATTTAGCAAACTTCTTTTGAACCTAAAAATAGGAAATTTTCCGATAACTGCCATTTACAGGCTCAACGTAGGAGTTCAATTCATTAGATTAAAACCTATTATAAATCTCTAGAACCTACATATGTCCTAATTATAAATCTTTAGAGTCTACATACGTCCTAAAACTAAGGTTCAAAGTAGAAGCAAAATTTTGACTGAGACATTACGACATTAAGGGGATCCCCGTAATGCCTTAACGTCTCAAAATCACCGCAAAACGTTTTTAAAAAATCGCCAATGTCTCACGTACTTGAAAGTGTTCGCATCCAAATAATTCAATTCATATTATCGTCATTGAAATATTTTTACATCTCATTATTATGAGAACAAAATTGATCTCAAGAATATTCCACGATTGCGTAATCGCGATGCAAACGGGAATCGAGAGCAGGTGATTAGTCGGTGAAAGCACACGGCGGACGT